TCACCATGTCTCTCTCACCGTGTCTCACCGTGTCTCTCCGTGTCTCACCGTGTCTCTCCGTGTCTCTCTCACCGTGTCTCTCTCACCGTGTCTCTCTCCCCGTGTCTCTCCCCCCGTGTCTCTCCGTGTCTCTCTCACCGTGTCTCTCTCACCGTGTCTCTCAATGTCTCACCGTGTCTCTCTCACCGTGTCACACCGTGTCTCTCCATGTCTCACCGTGTCTCTCCGTGTCTCTCTCACCGTGTCTCTCTCACCGTGTCTCTCAATGTCTCACCGTGTCTCTCTCACCGTGTCACACCGTGTCTCTCCGTGTCTCACCGTGTCTCTCCGTGTCTCTCTCACCGTGTCTCTCTCATCGTGTCTCTCAATGTCTCACCGTGTCTCTCTCACCGTGTCTCACCGTGTCTCTCTCCCCGTGTCTCTCTCCCCGTGTCTCTCTCTCCGTGTCTCTCTCTCCCCGTGTCTCTCTCCCCGTGTCTCTCTCACCGTGTTTCTCTCACCATGTCTCTCTCACCATGTCTCCCCGTGTCTCTCTCACCGTGTCTCGCTCCATGTCTCACCGTGTCTCTCTCCCCGTGTCTCTCTCACCGTGTCTCTCAATGTCTCTCCGTGTCTCTCTCACCGTGTCTCTCTCACCGTGTCTCTCTTACCGTGTCTCACCGTGTCTCTCTCACCGTGTCTCACCGTGTCTCTCTCCCCGTGTCTCTCTCCCCGTGTCTCTCTCTCCGTGTCTCTCTCTCCCCGTGTCTCTCTCCCCGTGTCTCTCTCACCGTGTCTCTCTCACCATGTCTCTCTCACCATGTCTCACCGTGTCTCTCTCACCGTGTCTCGCTCCATGTCTCACCGTGTCTCTCTCACCATGTCTCTCTCACCATGTCTCACCGTGTCTCTCTCACCATGTCTCTCTCACCATGTCTCACCGTGTCTCTCTCACCGTGTCTCTCTCCCCGTGTCTCTCTCACCGTGTCTCTCTCACCGTGTCTCTCTCACCGTGTCTCTCAATGTCTCTCCGTGTCTCTCTCACCGTGTCTCTCTCACCGTGTCTCTCTCACCGTGTCTCTCCGTGTCTCTCTCACCGTGTCTCTCTCCCCGTGTCTCTCTCACCGTGTCTCTCTCACCGTGTCTCACCGTGTCTCTCTCACCGTGTCTCTCTCCCCGTGTCTCTCTCACCGTGTCTCTCAATGTCTCACCGTGTCTCTCTCACCGTGTCTCACCATGTCTCACCGTGTCTCTCTCACCGTGTCTCGCTCCATGTCTCACCGTGTCTTTCAATGTCTCTCAATGTCTCACCGTGTCTCTCCATGTCCCCCCGTGTCTCTCTCCCCGTGTCTCTCTCACCGTGTCTCTCTCACCGTGTCTCTCTCCCCGTGTCTCTCTCACCGTGTCTCTCTCCCCGTGTCTCTCTCACCGTGTCTCTCTCCCCGTGTCTCTCTCACCGTGTCTCTCTCCCCGTGTCTCTCTCCCCGTGTCTCTCTCACCGTGTCTCTCCATGTCTCTCCATGTCTCTCTCACCGTGTCTCACCGTGTCTCACCATGTCTCACCATGTCTCACTGTGTCTCTCCCCCCGTGTCTCACCGTGTCTCTCCATGTCTCACCGTGTCTCTCCCCCCGTGTCTCTCCATGTCTCTCTCACCGTGTCTCTCTCACCATGTCTCACCATGTCTCACTGTGTCTCTCCCCCCGTGTCTCTCCGTGTCTCTCTCACCGTGTCTCTCTCACCGTGTCTCTCTCCCCATGTCTCTCTCATCGTGTCTCTCTCACCATGTCCCCCCGTGTCTCTCTCACCGTGTCTCTCTCCCCATGTCTCTCTCACCGTGTCTCTCTCACCATGTCCCCCCGTGTCTCTCTCACCGTGTCTCTCTCACCGTGTCTCTCTCACCGTGTCTCTCTCCCCATGTCTCTCTCACCGTGTCTCTCTCACCATGTCCCCCCGTGTCTCTCTCACCGTGTCTCTCTCACCGTGTCTCTCTCACCATGTCTCACCGTGTCTCACCGTGTCTCTCTCACCGTGTCTCACCGTGTCTCTCTCCCTGTGTCTCTCTCACCGTGTCTCTCTCCCTGTGTCTCTCTCACCGTGTCTCTCTCACCGTGTCTCTCTCACCGTGTCTCTCTCACCATGTCTCACCGTGTCTCACCGTGTCTCTCTCCCCGTGTCTCTCTCCCCGTGTCTCTCTCCCCTCCTCTCCCCAGTGTTGCTCCAGATCACTGCCCTCATTCTCTACCCGGTGTCTCTCTCACCGTGTCTCTCTCACCGTGTCTCTCTCACCGTGTCTCTCTCACCGTGTCTCACCGTGTCTCTCTCACCGTGTCTCTCTCACCATGTCTCACCGTGTCTCTCTCCCCGTGTCTCTCCCCGTGTCTCTCTCACCGTGTCTCTCTCACCGTGTCTCTCTCACCGTGTCTCTCTCACCATGTCTCACCGTGTCTCCCCGTGTCTCTCTCCCCGTGTCTCCCCGTGTCTCTCTCCCCAGTGTTGCTCCAGATCACCGCCCTCATCCTCTACCCGGTGTCTCTCTCACCGTGTCTCTCTCACCGTGTCTCTCTCACCGTGTCTCTCTCACCGTGTCTCTCTCACCGTGTCTCACCGTGTCTCTCTCACCGTGTCTCTCTCACCATGTCTCACCGTGTCTCTCTCCCCGTGTCTCTCCCCGTGTCTCTCTCACCGTGTCTCTCTCACCGTGTCTCTCTCACCGTGTCTCTCTCACCATGTCTCACCGTGTCTCCCCGTGTCTCTCTCCCCGTGTCTCCCCGTGTCTCTCTCCCCAGTGTTGCTCCAGATCACCGCCCTCATCCTCTACCCGGTGTCTCTCTCACCGTGACTCTCTCCCCGTGTCTCTCACCATGTCTCCCCGTGTCTCTCTCTCACCGTGTCTCCCCTTGTCTCTCTCACCGTGTCTCTCACCATGTCTCACCGTGTCTCTCAATGTCTCTCTCCCCAGTGTTGCTCCAGATCACCGCCCTCATCCTCTACCCGGTGTCTCTCTCACCGTGTCTCTCTCACCGTGTCTCTCTCACCGTGTCTCTCTCACCGTGTCTCTCTCACCGTGTCTCTCTCCCCGTGTCTCTCTCCCCGTGTCTCTCTCACCGTGTCTCTCCATGTCTCACCGTGTCTCCCCGTGTCTCTCTCACCGTGTCTCTCCGTGTCTCTCTCACCGTGTCTCTCTCACCGTGTCTCTCTCACCGTGTCTCTCTCCCCATGTCTCTCTCACCGTGTCTCTCTCACCATGTCCCCCCGTGTCTCTTTCACCGTGTCTCTCTCCCCATGTCTCTCTCACCGTGTCTCTCTCACCATGTCCCCCCGTGTCTCTCTCACCGTGTCTCTCTCACCGTGTCTCTCTCCCCGTGTCTCTCTCACCGTGTCTCTCTCACCGTGTCTCTCTCACCATGTCTCACCGTGTCTCACCGTGTCTCTCTCCCCGTGTCTCTCTCCCCGTGTCTCTCTCCCCTCCTCTCCCCAGTGTTGCTCCAGATCACCGCCCTCATCCTCTACCCGGTGTCTCTCTCACCGTGTCTCTCTCCCTGTGTCTCTCTCACCGTGTCTCTCCATGTCTCACCGTGTCTCCCCGTGTCTCTCTCCCCGTGTCTCTCTCACCGTGTCTCTCTCACCGTGTCTCTCTCACCGTGTCTCTCTCACCGTGTCTCTCTCACCGTGTCTCCCCGTGTCTCTCTCCCCGTGTCTCTCTCACCGTGTCTCTCTCACCGTGTCTCCCCGTGTCTCTCTCTCCCCAGTGTTGCTCCAGATCACCGCCCTCATCCTCTACCCGGTGTCTCTCTCACCGTGTCTCACCGTGTCTCTCTCCCCGTGTCTCTCTCACCGTGTCTCTCTCCCCGTGTCTCTCTCCCCGTGTCTCTCCCCCCGTGTCTCTCTCACCGTGTCTCCCCGTGTCTCTCTCCCCGTGTCTCTCTCCCCAGTGTTGCTCCAGATCACCGCCCTCATCCTGTACCCGGTGTCTCTCTCACCGTGTCTCACCGTGTCTCTCTCCCCGTGTCTCTCACCGTGTCTCACCGTGTCTCCCCGTGTCTCCCCGTGTCTCACCGTGTCTCTCTCCCCGTGTCTCTCTCCATGTCTCACCGTGTCTCCCCGTGTCTCCCTCTCCCCAGTGTTGCTCCAGATCACCGCCCTCATCCTCTACCCGGTGCGCTTCGTGGAGGACTCGGTGTCTCTCTCACCGTGTCTCACCGTGTCTCTCAATGTCTCCCCGTGTCTCTCTCACCGTGTCTCTCTCACCATGTCTCACCGTGTCTCACCGTGTCTCTCCATGTCTCACCGTGTCTCCCCGTGTCTCTCTCCCCGTGTCTCTCACCGTGTCTCCCCGTGTCTCTCTCACCGTGTCTCTCTCACCGTGTCTCCTCTCCCCGTGTCTCTCCCCTCCTCTCCCCAGTGTTGCTCCAGATCACCGCCCTCATCCTCTACCCGGTGTCTCTCACCGTGTCTCCCCGTGTCTCTCTCCCCGTGTCTCTCACCGTGTCTCCCCGTGTCTCTCTCCCCGTGTCTCTCACCGTGTCTCCCCGTGTCTCTCTCACCGTGTCTCTCTCACCGTGTCTCCTCTCCCCGTGTCTCTCCCCTCCTCTCCCCAGTGTTGCTCCAGATCACCGCCCTCATCCTCTACCCGGTGCGCTTCGTGGAGGACTCGGTGTCTCTCTCACCGTGTCTCACCGTGTCTCTCAATGTCTCCCCGTGTCTCTCTCACCGTGTCTCTCTCACCATGTCTCACCGTGTCTCACCGTGTCTCTCCATGTCTCACCGTGTCTCCCCGTGTCTCTCTCACCGTGTCTCTCTCACCGTGTCTCCCCGTGTCTCCCCCCGTGTCTCTCCCCTCCTCTCCCCAGTGTTGCTCCAGATCACCGCCCTCATCCTCTACCCGGTGCGCTTCGTGGAGGACTCGGTGTCTCTCTCACCGTGTCTCTCTCCCCGTGTCTCTCTCCCCGTGTCTCTCTCACCGTGTCTCTCTCACCGTGTCTCCTCTCCCCGTGTCTCCCCGTGTCTCCCTCTCCCCAGTGTTGCTCCAGATCACCGCCCTCATCCTGTACCCGGTGCGCTTCGTGGAGGACTCGGTGCTCCACTCGTACCACGAGTTCAGCTGGGGCTACGGCGTCGCCTGGGGCTCCACCATCTTCCTGGTCGGGGCCGCCGTCTTCTACTTCCTCAAGCCTCACGACTACCGCTACTCACAGGGACCCCTGCAGCGCTAAGGGGGTAGGGGCACACAGGGGTAGTCGCGTCTAGGGGGGGTGGCGGCGGCGGGGGGGGGGGGGGTGGGTGGGGTGGCCTGGAGGGGGTGGGGGGGGGGGGGGTAGCCCCGCAGAGGGGGGTCCCTCCGCGGGGCCAAGGGGGTGTCTCGGCAAGGGGGTGTCTCGGCAAGGGGGTCTTCGGCAGGGGGGTCTTAGCCAGGGGGGTCTTAGCCAGGGGGGTCTTAGCCAGGGGGGGTCTCGCCAAAGGGGTCTTAGCCAGGGGGGTCTCGCCAGGGGGTCTCACCAAGGGGGTCTTAGCCAGGGGGGGTCTTCGCCAAGGGGGTTCTCGCCAAGGGGTCTCGCCAAGGGGGTGTCGCCAAGGGGGTCTCGCCAAGGGGGTCTCGCCAAGGGGGTCTCACTAAGGGGGTCTCGCCAAGGGGTCTCGCCAGGGGGTCTCACCAAGGGGGTCTCGCCAGGGGGTCTCACCAGGGGGTCTCGCCAAGGGGTCTCGCCAAGGGGGTCTCGCCAAAGGGGTCTCACTAAGGGGTCTCGCCAAGGGGGTCTCGCCGGGGGGTCTCACAAAGGGGGTCTCGCCAGGGGGTCTCACCAGGGGGTCTCACCAAGGGGGTCTCGCCAGGGGGTCTTCGCCAGGGGTTTTCACCAAAGGGGTCTCGCCAAGGGGGTCTCGCGCGAGGGTTCGCCGGAGGGACCCCCCTAGAGCGCTAGGGGACCGTAGGGGTCTCGGCGGGGTCTCACCTCAGGGGGTGGGGGGGGGGCCCTTACAGCGCTAGGGTTTCACCGGGGTCTCCACTGGTGACCCCTGAGTCTCCCCGTGTCTCCCTCCATCCCTCCCTCTCCTCCTCCCTCTCCTCCCTCCCTCCCCTCCCTCTCCTCCTCCCTCCATCCCTCCCCTCCCTCCCTCCCCTCCCTCTCCTCCCTCTCCTCCTCCCTCCCCTCCCTCCCTCCCCTCCCTCCCCTCCCTCTCTCCCCTCCCTCTCCTCCCTCCCTCCCCCTCCTCCCTCCTACCCCTCCCTCCCTCCTCTCCCCCTTGCTCGCTAGCTTTGTAGTCCATAGCTCAGCCACCTCTGTAAGTCACGGGGGAGGCGTTGGTGGTGGTGGTGATGGTGGTGGTGGTGATGGTGGTGGTGATGATGGTGGTGGTGATGGTGGTGGTGGTGATGGTGGTGGTGGTGATGGTGGTGGTGATGATGGTGGTGGTGATGGTGGTGGTGGTGATGGTGGTGGTGGTGATGGTGGTGATGGTTGTGATGGTGGTGGTGGTGATGGTGGTGATGGTGGTGGTGGTGATGGTGGTGGTGGTGATGGTGGTGGTGATGGTGGTGATGATGGTGATGGTAGTGATGGTGGTGATGGTTATGATGGTGGTGGTGGTGATGGTGGTGGTGATGGTGGTGGTGGTGATGGTGGTGATGGTGGTGATGGTGATGATGATGATGATGGTGGTGATGGTGGTGGTGGTGATGATGATAATGGTGATGATGATGGTGGTGATGATGGTGATGATGATGATGGTGATGATGATGATGGTGATGATGGTGATGGTGGTGATGATGGTGATGATGATGATGATGGTGGTGGTGATGATGATGATGGTGGTGGCAGTGGTGGCGTAGTCTGGGATCGAGATGGGCGAGCCGTTCGTGGTTCGGTCCCGGTTGGGCCGCCCTGGTGAATACCGTGGTGTTTGTGCGATCTGGGTGCCGTTTAACACGTGGTAGCAGTAGTGTTAATATTATCATCATGCAGTAGTAGAACTTAGCAGTAGTAGCAATAGAATCATCAGCAGTAGTACTTGGCAGTAGTAGAAGCAGCAATAGAATAATCTGCAGTAGTACTTAGCAGCAGTAGCAGCAGTAGTTGGAGTGGTAGCAGTAGAATCATCAGCAGCAGTAGCATCATCAGTAGTAGTGGCAGCAGTAGCATCATCATCAGCAGCAGCAGTAGCATCATCAGTAGTAGTGGCAGCAGTAGCATCATCAGCAGCAGTAGCATCATCAGTAGTAGTGGCAGCAGTAGCATCATCATCATCAGCAGCAGCAGCAGTAACATCATCAGTAGTAGTGGCAGCAGTAGCATCATCATCGGTAGCAATAGAATAATCAGCAGTAGTATAACTTAGCAGTAGTAGTAGTAGCAATAGTAGTAGCAATAGTAATATCAGCAATAGAATCATCAGCAGTAGCAGTGGTAGCAATAGCAGCAGCAGTAGTAGCGATCGAATCATCATTATCAGCAGCAGCAGCAGCATCATCAGCAGTAACGGGGCTTTCTGACCACCAACATCATCCACAATCGCGGATCAATGTTATTGCTGGGGGGTGTGGCGGGTTAGTTGACGTGAATATAAATATATATAAGCGCGCGCGTGTGTGTGTGTGTGCGCATGAGTGTCCGTCTGCACCTGGTCAAGGCCTATGATACCATCAGTAGGCCTGGGCTCTGGGTTGGTCTTCGTGCTTTCGGAGTCCCTGACCCCCTGCTCACGATCATGAAGGACCTTCGTGATGGTGAGCGGGCCCGGGTAAAACTACGTGGCCGGGAGTCGGAGCCATTCCCTGTACACCTTGGGGTGCGACGGGGATGTCCTCTGGCTCCCACATTATTTAACATCTATTTTTGACCACGTAGTTTGTGAAGCCTTCAATAGCTGTACCGGAGGAATCTCCATTTGGTACAGATATAATGGGAGGCTGATCGATGCCCGGGTGCGGTCAAGGGATGGCTCCATATTGCTCATCCAAGTTATGCATGCCAATGATTTGGTAATCGTTGCTCACTCAGAGGAGCAGTTGGAGGTGCTGCTGCTGAGACTGGAGCGTGCCACTTAGAGGTAGGGACTTACCATCAGCCCCACCAAAAACTAAGCACCTGCCTGGGAATTTTGTACCATCGGACACTCCACCCCCACAACTCCCAATTGGTGATGGGGCAGTTGTGGAGAGAGTTGAGAATTTTCCATACCTGGGCAGTGTGCTCATGACCGGCTCCAGTTTAACAGCAGAGTTCTCACTCCGAATCAGTCGAGCGGCATTATCTTTTCATCGGTTGCGTAACGCTGTGTGGAAGCTACCTGGTCTGTCGCTCCGCACTAAGCTTCAGGTCTTCTCGGCCACGGTCATTCCCTCCCTTCTCTACGCTTGCGAAACGTAGACCCCCCTAATGGAGCATCTTCGCTAGTTAGAAACATCTAGGCTGGCCTGCCTACGATCCATCCTGGGTTTGTTTGAGGTGCTCAAATATCCTTGAAACATCTGGACAAAGTCCCATCGGTGAGCTCCTCCGGCAGGCAAGGCTGCGTTGGCTGGGTCATGTAGCCCGCATGCCCAGCCACTGCATGCCGAAACAGCTTTTGTTCGGCCGGATCGAGGGGGCTAAACGGGTGCGGCACGGGCTAGAGAAGATATGGAGTGATGTGGTACAGGAGGACGTGGAGCTGAGTGGACTTACCGATGACTGGTACCAGCGGTGTCAAGATCGGCCTCTGTGGAGGAGGCTCGTGAAGGACGCTACTGGACAGTTGGAGGCAGTCGCCCTCCAACAACAACGGAGGGCAGAGGAGCGACGCTCACAACAATGAGCGGAGCGCCGGGTGGCTAAAGCACAGCAGGTTGGCACAGTAGGGGGCACAGGTGGTGCATCAGCCAGTCATCTCAGTCAGTCGACCCGTGGCACCTGGATCTGCCCCGTGACCTGCCAGCGGGCGTTCGACACTTCACGTGGCCTCAAGGTGCACATGGCCTGGCACAAGCGTCGTGGTGACGTCACCGCCACTTAGTGGAGAATGGCGGTTGTTGTTGTTGTTGTGTGTCGCTGTGTGTGTCTGTGTGTGTGAGGGTGTGTCTGTGTGTCGTTAAACCCGCCACCACCCAACATGGCCAAGTTGCCGTCTGCCGTCCGTCGTCGCCTTCACACCACACACCCCACACACACACCCATACCCCACACACCACCCCACCCACACACACCACACACACCACACACACACCCCACCCACACACACCACACACACCACACACACCACACACACCCACACCCACACCCCACACACACACCCCACACACCACCCCCACACACCACCCCCACACACCACCCCCACACACCACCCCCACACCCCCCACACCCACACACACACCACACACACACCACACACACACCCCACCCACACCACCCACAACACCCACACCACCCACACACCCCACCCACACACCCCACCCACACACCCCACACACACACACTACACACACCCCACCCACACACACCCCACCCACACCACCCACACACACCACCCACACCACCCACACCACCCACACACCACACCCACACACACCACCACCCACACACTCCCCACCCACACACCCCACACACACCACACACTCCACACCCTCACACACCCTCACACACACACCCCACACACACCACACACACCACACCCCACCCACGTGCTGAGATTCAAACTCTCTGCATCATCTTCTCCCGCGGTTCGCCGGTTTTCGTTTGGGGCTCTTCTCTGACTGCCTAGGCTGACGAACCAAACACGGAATCCGCGTGTCCGGCGGTGTGACCCCCCTCCCATGTCTCCCACCCTCTGCCCCCCATCTACTCCGCGTCCAGAAATTTATTTTGTAGCGGCCGCTTTTCTCGTTGGAGAGAGAGGGGGGGGGGGAAAAACCACCACCACCACCAACAACAACAATCACAAACAACCACAACAACCACCGAACTAACAATAAACCGGTCACGACGACTCTGAGCACATTGTCGTAATCGTCTTTCTCGTTGTTTTCGTCGTGGTTGCTGTTGTTGTTGTTATAATAACGGCGACCATGTCACGCCGCGAATGAATGGTACCGGGTGGCCGAGGTCGCTTGCACCCACGGGGGGACAGCTGCCGCTGGGGGTGCCCCTAGGCTATAGACCCACACAGCAGCAGAATCATCGCTACCCCTACTACTACCAGCAGGCTGACACACAGAGACAGCTGACACTGGGGGTGCCCCTAGGCTATAGACCCACACACAGCAGCAGCAATCATCACTACCCCTACT